CCATGTGAGCAATGAAACTGGTCAATAAGGACATGTTCGTTTCCTTTATGAATCTTAATGCTTATTTTATTAAATATTTGCCTAGTAAATGAGATTGGAATTCTTATCCCTTGATACTTCAAGAAAATAGAGACAATGATAACATGATGGAACTATCATATTCGGCTATCGCAAAGCTTGATCAAGCAAAACAGAATGAGATCCAACCTTCTTCATAAAAATTAGAAGGTTATTTACTTTACTTCGTCTTTGTTACTCTTGATGGTTTTGGTTTTGGCAATTTCAGTTCCAAACTAATTCAGGCTATCCACAAGCTTTCCTTTCGGCATCAAGACTTCAAGGTAAACTAATACTCTTTGATTTCTCGTGTTTTCATAAGGTTAGCAGCTGATCAGTTCAAATTATTTAGTAGATATACCCTGCATTTTAAGGAAATTTGAAGCTAATAAGCTTGTCTATTGTACTGCATTTTTAGGACTATTGTTGCTTTGGAGAAGGCAGTGAAGTGAGAATTGCTTGGAATGAGACAACCTAAGTTCTTTGAAAGAGAGAAAGAGCAAGCTAATGGGAAGGCAACGCACATAGAGGGGATGAGATTGAAGTTGTCTTTAGAATGTTAGCTTTATTTTGTTTAAAACTTGGTATGATGTTATGTTAAAATGGATAATGTAATAATTAGGGCTGGGCTTTTAAACCGAACCGAATGTACCGAACCGAAACCGAAGCAAAAAAAATCGAACCGAACCGAACCGAAAATTTGAAAATAACCGAATGGATACTAAATTTGATAACCGAAATAACCGTAACCGAATCGGTACCGAACCGAAATATTTCGGGTAACCGAAATACCCGAAATACAATTATATTTTCGAAATAATTAGTTATTTATAGACCATATAATCAAAAATACTTGAAAAATCTATAAAAATAGTAAAAATACTCAAAAATAACCGAAAAATATCCAAAAATATTCGAAAATACTCAAAAATAACCGAAATATCCGAAAATATCCTAAGCAAAATAACCGAATGGATACTAAATTTTAAAACCGAAAGAACCGGAACCAAACCGAAACCGAACCGAAATTTCAAAATATCCGAATGGATACTAAATTTTAGAACCGAAAGAACCGAAAACCGAATGGACCCAACCGATAACCGAACGGATAACCGAAAGCCCAGGCCTAGTAATAATATTGTTATGTATGTTGATGATTTATGAAATATAAACATTATATTATAAATCCAATTAAATTTATTTTGCAAAATAGGATTCATATATAATAATTATATATGCAAATAGCTTAAAACAATCGAAGTATAGACTTGCTATTGTAGAATGCCCTATGATAACAAAATGCAGGTGCTATATAAGATTTAATTATAGCGTTGTAATTTTGCTATAGTATCTGTATATATCATAGCATTAAAAAAAATGCTATCGTATGTCAAAAAACTATTATAGCTGCCGATGTCATAGCATTAGTCAATTCGCTATCTTATATGTATGATAGCATAATTTCCGCGCTAACAATGTGCATATTTCTTGTAGTGTAACTTCATTTACACAGGCTGGTTTGGCTCTTGGAGATCTCAGATCAGTAAAGGATCTGTATGATTTTAAGACTTTGTCCGTGCTATTCCTCATTGGATCCATCTCTATATTCCCTGCCCTCCTAAAGAGAAAGAGAGTATTTTATAAAACGTGTTAAAGGGCTGGTAGAAAAGTTACAATTCATGCTAGTGCTACGACTCAATGCTCTCTTTCAGTCAATTTTGTCCATGAGGAATCAGGTAACTTGTTCTCCCTGAAATTCTTGGGCGGGGAGGAGCATCTCTAAAAAAATGATCTTGTTACACAAAAGGTTAGAAAAACACCAAACATAGTAACACCTCCAAATTGACAAATTGAGTGAAAGTACTTTGGCCGATAATGATCAAATTTTTGTATTATAGAAGTCGAAGAATAAAACAAAAAAAGCTAATCGTACCTCTCTTAGAGAATGAATTAACAATATGGCTCTTATGTTAAGACTCTTAGCTAATGAGATCTAAATTTGCTGTTTGTTTTTTTTTTAAATCTCTGTTATGTTCAAAAAAGAAAAACAAAAACAAAAAAGTTATTAGAACATTTGCTAAATTTATGGTCAAAATTGAACCACATATCAAAAATAATAATCGTAGAAGACAAAAATAAATTAATGTGAATTAAGTAAACTATTGAGTGAAATTTTGTACATACCAGAAATCCATCAAACATATATATTAGTTTGATAGATCTGCAATGCCACAAATATCCTGAAAACAATAAAAATAACATGTTAACATGATAATTGATCAAATTTTCATTACAAACACAAAATCGTTTTTCAATGATATATCTATTCATAACAAAATAAGAGAAGCACCTTCACCTGCACACGCCAATCTGTTTTGTAAGGCATGATGTCCCTCAAGCAAGCAAAGGATTTGGCCATTGGTGTTCGTAAAAAAATTTTTGAGCTTAAGTTAGAGATCGGAAATGTATTAGTGTTTTGTGTGTTTAGATCTTGGAAATGACCATCTATTTATAGTGTTTAGATAGATTAGTAGGGTTTTATGGTAGAGAATATACAAAATCTTGATTAGCAAATATTATATATCTTATAAATATTCATGATCCTAAATCTAATAGAATATGCTATAGGAAATAAGAATAAAATCATTTAGTTAAGAATCATTTCCAATTCAGTAGTTGTGATTGAATGTGGATTTTATACGGTTTATTTGATTTAGGAAACAAACTTTAATGGGGTCATAATATGTAGCATTTTTATAGGAAATAAGTTGAATATAAAATATTCGTTTGTTAATACGATATATATAGTTTACAAAAAAAAAAAAAATATATATATATATATATATATATATATATATATATATATATACAATGGATATATAATTGTGCATTAATTTCGGAAACGAATTAAATTCTGGAAATTAATGTTTAAATTTTCCTAATTTAAACAATCGAATTAATGATTTTTATATTGTATTAGTTATTTATGATAACTAAGGTATGTGGAATAATCATTAGAAATTTAGATTTGATTTCGATTTTATTGTTTTAGTAGTTTTCATTTGCTAGATATTCTCGATATTAGGTTTAATAGCATTTAAAATTAAATATTTGATTTCCATATCTTTTAAACTCAAATATAGTTTACGAAAAATTAGGAATGTTTAGTGAGTTAATTTATTGTTTTGTAAAATTTGCTTAAGACAATATTTTTGTCAGATTTTATTTGTAGGAACTAAATGTACAATATTGAAATTGTAAAAGGATTTTTGAGGCCAAATCTTCACCAAAAATGTATATATAGATTATTGGATCAAGTTGTATAGAAAGCTAACCAAATCTATGATGCATTATTTACAGAAGGAGAAGTTGAAATGGCTTAAAGGCTTATCGGTGAAAGAATATAGAGAGATATGGGTTTTTTTTGTCCACGCTAGCTACGTCCAAATCTAATAGCCTTATCTAACTGTGAGTGGTGTCTGTAAAGAGGACGTTCATTGTAAGGTCTCGGGTTATATATATAATCAATGATCAACCACTATGTAAATCTTTTGAGTTTGGGACCTCTACCAAATTCCCACAACATAAATTTTATGGTACTGATTCACATCATTCTCAACTTTTCTTTTTCACCCATACAAACGCATGACTCAATTCAGAAGTCGAGAAGTACCAAATACTTTTAAAAATTTAAATAGTTAATGCTAGCCCTGGGCGTTTTAACCGGACCCGATCCCCGACCATCGAACTCGATCCGAAGTGACGAGTTCGGCACGGGTGGATTTAAATCTCTCTAGCCCCTTTAGGGAGAATCAAATTTTGGAAAACCCCTCTTTATTCTCACTACCCCCTCTCCTTCCCAATTTTTCAATAAACCAACTCTACCCCTTATCCCTTTATTTCTACATTTAATTTAATACTAACACATTTTTTATTCAACCAATCAAAAACTTTCTCTTTCTTCTCTCATTAGAAAAATAAACATACCAAATGTCTCACCTTTTACGTTAAACCTACGAGACTTTCTTCTCTTCTTCTTCTTCTTCTTCTTCTTCCTCTTTTTCTTCTTCTTCTTCTTCAACAGCTCCGACGTTCTTCAGCAGCTCCGACGTTCTTCTTCTTCTTCTTCTTCTTCTTCTTCTTCTTCTTCTCCATCTACCATTGAAGCTCACCATTAAAGCTTGTATCTCCAAAGACATACCTCTTCTCTTATTCTTCTTCTATTCCAACCATACTGTAAGGTAAGTATACTTGTTTTCTTAGTGTAGTATGATTAAGTTGAATTCGTAGCTTGAATAGGGTTATTTGTTGAAATATTTTAGGATTGCAGATTTGGGACAACTGAAACCACTGGGTACAACTAAGTAGAATATTTACGAAAAGTCGAAAACCTTAAGTTTGGTGCAACTGGGACAAATGTGTACAACTATGTTGATGGTCTGCTACAAAAGTTGTGAAATTATAGGCCGTTTTTTTATCTCTTTCTTTTTCAGGGACAATGAAAAGGAATTCAGTCATACGCTTTGCTTATGACGGATACTATACAAGTATCGAAGAAGATGTACATTGGATTTCTAATGGAGAAGATGAAGAAGTGTATTCTTTTCTTATGAATAAATCGAAAGGGGAAGTATCATATGTTAAGATAGTTGAGAAGATTTGCAGAAAGAAAAAGGTAGATGAGGCTACGACAAAGCTGAGAGTTAGCTACTTTCTCTTCACATTCAAAGGACGTAAGCTAAGACCAAATTATATTCGTGATGATGAAGATGTTGTGTGTTATTATGAGGATGTGAGTGAAGAAGGGCTTAGAAGTGTATTGCATGTCGAGCTCCGGGCACATGACTTGTGCTGAAAGTATTATTGGATCGAGCTTTGGGTTTTGGCGTACACGAAGACAATTTATCCGGTTCTCCATAATAGTCAATGGGTTCTTCCTGAGGAGATAATGCAACTGTTTGTCTATCCTCCGGATTATGAGGTAAAACAAGGAAGAAGACAAGAAATAAGATTCCCCTCCGTTCGAGAACATAGAGGAAGAGGACGTAAGAAGAGGTCGCATGGATCGAGCGGTTTGGGCGAGTGGTTACCAATGATGGTGACGTTGATGGAGACGATGCGGATGACCAAGGTTGATTTCCCAGTGCTATTTATTAGGTTAATTTAAGAAACGATGTTGTTTGTATTGGTTTTGTTTGTGAAACTTATATGTTCTGTGTTGTACAACTAAGTTTTAGCAGGTACAACTATGGTTGATTTTCCTTCTCGTATCTGTGCAAATTTTGTCAGTCTGGGTACAACTAAGTACCACATGTACAACTAAAGTCTAATGCCTTAGCCAATTTTCAGAATTTTATATAATATGAAAATTTAAAACCAAATTGAAAAAACTTGAAAAATGCATACACGATGGTAATGAAACTACACAACAAGTTTTTGACGAAAAAATTCATATTTTTTAAAAATACTGAAATTTTTACTCAAAATCTCACACTCATACACTTACAACCTTATACTTTCATGGTTACTTTGTAAATTTGAACTAAAATTTTATAAATTTTTTGAAATACTTGTATTTTGAAAAATATAAATGTACATATACAAAGTAATGATATTTTTATGAGGCAATACCATCGGTTCCA